CACACACACACACACACACACACACACACAAAATCTGTTTTGCTTTGAAATGGAGTCCCTCTCTGTTGCCCAGGCTGGAGTGCAGTGGTGCAATCTCGGCTCACTGCAACCTCGCTTCCCGGGTTCAAGAGATTCTCCTGCCTCAGCCTCCTGAGTAGCTGGGATTACAGGTGTGTGCCACCACACCCAGCTAATTTTTTTTGTTGTTGTATTTTTAACAGAGATGGGGTTTTGCCACATTAGCTAGACTGGTCTCAAACTCCTGACCTGAGTGATCCACCTGCCTCAGCCTCCCAAAGTGCTGGGATTACAAGGCATGAGCCACCATGCCCAGTCGAAGATAGGCAATATTAAAACAATTACAACTCATCCAGTACACAGATACTGACTAACTGACCCCTTGTTCCATAACTACAACTTGATTGGACAAGAGACTGATTTCAGTAACACAATTGTTACTGAAGTCTCCTGATAAGACTACCAAGCCTAGAATGGTTCTGGCTGACTTACAGAGGGTGCACATTTGCACACCTTTGTGTCCTGAAAAGACCTTTTGATGTATCAAGCTGAATTGTAAAACATTTGAAGATGAGTTGAAGATGAGTTGTAGGTAACATGCATGTTTCTTAAATACGCATGCGTCAGGACCACTTTCATGAATATTCATAGCTTCGTCTGTCACCTGTTGGATATGTATATTTAGCCAACCTGTTCAGCATAAAGCTCCTACCCCAACCCTCCTCCTTCAAAGTGCCTGTCTCTGATCTTGGCCAAGGCATGTTATATGGTTTGGCTCCATGTCCTCACCCAAATCTCATCTTATAGCTCCCATAATTCCCATGTGTTGCGGGAGGGACCCGGCGGGAAATGATTGAATTAAGGGGGTGGGTCTTTCCTGTGCTGTTCTCATGATAGGGAGTGGGTCTCACGAGATCTGGTGGTTTTAAAAATGGGAGTTTCCCTGCACAAGCTCTCTCTTTGCCTGTTGCCATCCACATAACATGTGACTTGTTCCTCCTTGCCTTCCACCATGATTGTGAGGCCTCCCCAGGCATGTAAACTGTAAATATAATAAACCTCTTTCTTTTGTAAATTGCCCAATCTCAGGTATGTCTTTATAGGCAGGATGAAAATGGAATAATATAGCATGCTTCCCAGCATGCTGCATTATTCCTTGCAGGCTGTAACCCCTTACAAGTAAGTCTCCTCCTTTCTAAATTTATAAATTGTGTGTGTGTGTGTGTGTGTGTGTGTGTGTGTAAGTTAACAAGGAGAAAAAAAGCAAAACCAAATACTCATTAACTAAAAGAGATATGAAATAAGAAAGCCAGATATTTATTTGCTTCCATGGTAAATTAAGAATTTAGCCCTGATTAAATAGAAATCTTATTTCTGACTCCTGCATTACTAGAAAGTTTATTAATCTTCTTTCTGTTAAGTCATTTTTATAATAGTAATTTCATTATCTTAACAATAACAAAATAAGAAACCTCAATAATGGGAGTTTACTCCAGCAAATCCTGTCAAAACAGGACAAGTCTGCAAATCATCTCAAACTGTCTTCCTTATAAAGCTTTGGTTCACATCATCTAGGTCCTCAGTAAAGTAGCACTGAGAAAGCTGGTCTTGGTTCCATCAGTTCTGTTGAGACCAGAGGCACAGAGAGCTAACTATCCCAAGCCTCCAATAATAAGCATTATTAATAAGTAGCATATTAAATATTAGGTATTATTGAGGTTTCTTATTGTTAAAATAATGAAATTACTATTATAATCATGACAGCAGAAAGAAGATTAATACACTTTTTAGTAATGCAGGGGTCAGTATGGAGAAAGTTGGTGTAAATCTCTTTTCTCTCCACTCCCCTGAGACATTGTCCTGGGACAAGCCTGAGGGGCTTGTAAGCCCCTGTGCTTGAGCCTCTGGAAATTCCCTGCTAACCCCTAACAGACCCTGCGAAGGAGGGGGTTACTTGCATCTCCCCAGACTTCTGCCACCACCACAGCGAAGATGACAGCAAGGCAGAGCTGTACCATGGTAAGACAAGTACAATAACTGAGGTATTCACCTATGGCATAAAATTTATGGGACGCACTCAGTAGTCATGATAAATATTAAACTAAAACATCTAAATGCATATTTAAAAGTGAATGCCAAAATATTTTTATAATTTTTTTTAAAAAGATGTGTATAAAATTTTTATACAAAGTGTATAAAAATTTTAAACAAAGACGGCTTAGGATTACTGATTTTTCCTTTTGCTGTAGATGCCAGTATAGCTCCTGATGAAGTTTTATGTTTACATTTTATTTTAAAAAGTTCCTCATGAACTTTTATGTTTACATTTTATTTTAAAAATTTAAGGGTTTTTGTGGCTCACACCTCAAATCCCAGCACTTTGGGCGGCCGAGGCAGGCAGATCACCTGAGGTCGGGAATTCGAGACCAGCCTGACCAATATGGAGAAACCCCGTCTCTGCTAAAAATATAAAATTAGCCGAGCGTGGTGGCGCGTGCCTGTAGTCCCAGCTACTCGGGACGCTGAGGCAGGAGAATCGCTTGAACCCAGGAGGCGGAGGTTGCGGTAAGCCGAGATCGCGCCATTGCACTCAGCCTGGGAAACAAGAGTGAAACCCCATCTCAAAAAAAAAATTAAAAAGATTGTATGAAAGTCTTTATTTTGACTATTGAGTTGGCTTTTCATTGAATGCTGCCGCCAAGGCCGGTGTCTAATTCCCCTTATCCCCTAACCTCTGTTGTCCTAGAGTTGGGGCACTGAGCGGCGGGCCAGGAAAATCAAGGGATGAAATACTTGGGAGGCCTGAGAAGGGTGGGCTGGGGCTCTCGGGAGCATGCGCGGGGTGGGGCGGTGGGGGCACTGCGGTGGCGCTCCCGGCTCCTCTGCGCGCCCCCGGCCCCTTCCGCGCGTCCCCAACTCCCCAAGCTTCCATCCTGGTTTCCCCCGCGCGTCTCCGGGTCCGCGCAGGATCAGGCCACAGACCTGCCCACTGGCGGCTGCTCGGCGGGTTTTTGGGGAGGGCGTGGGGAGGGTGTTGGGAGGAGGAGCCCCAACCCGGTGGACATGCGCCCCGCAGCGGCGGAGGCGGCGGCCAGGCCTGAGCAGTGAGTGCCTGGGAGACCCGGCGTGCCCTCCTCCTGCCCGTGTACCCTGAGCTGGCTGCTGCTCCCGACACCGGGCTGGGGGGCCTGCCCGCTGCCCGCGGTCGGTGCGCAGAGCTCCAAAGCGCGTCCCTCCAACAAACGAAAACTCATAGGGACTTAGGGTTGGATTTTAACTTTTTTTTTTTGGCTTGTAGTTTAGTGCTAGGTAGAGGGTTTGGGAGGTGTAGTCAATTTCGGTGCTAGTTTGATTGAGGCAACTGACATGACCTCTGCATCTCATCAGTAATGCAGAAATAACATTTTATCCATTTCATCGGGCCTTTTTTTTTTTTTTTTTTTTTTTTTTGAAAATTGAGGTAAAATTCAAATAACATAAATTTCACCATTTTTACTCTTTCGAAGTGCACAGTTCAGTGGCTTTTAGTATGTTCACAGTGTTGTGCGACCGCCACCACCATCTAATCCCATTTTCATCACACCCCAAATAAACCCTGTACTCATTCAGTTACACCCATTCCCCCCTTCGCCCTGCCTCTCCCAGCTCCCAACTACCAATCTACTTTTTTGTGTTTGTGGCTTTATAGGTTCTGGACATTTCTTTTCTGGACATTTATCTTCCTTCCTTTTTTTTTTTTTCTCTCTCTCTTCTTTCCTTCCTTCTTTTCTTCCTTCCTTCCTTCTTTCCTTCTTCCTTTCTTTATTTGATAAAGTCTCGCTCTGACACCCAGGCTGGTTCAGCTCACTGCAACCTCCACTTCCCAGGTTCAAATGATTCTCATGCTTCAGCCTCCTGAGTAGCTGAGATTACAGGTGCCCACCACCATGCCCGGCTAATTTTTGTATTTTTAGTAGAGATGGGGTTTTATCATGTTGGTCAGGCTGGTCTCGAACTCCTGACCTCAGGTGATCCGCCCACCTCTGCCTTCCAAAGTGCTGAGATTACAGCCTTGAGCCACCCCACCCGACCGATGTGCATCTTTCCATGCTCTTGTTAGCCATTTGTATAATTGCTTTGGGGAAATGTCCGTTTAGATCATTTTGCCCATTATTTAATTGGGTTGTCTTTTTGCTATTGAGTTATAATGGTGCTTTATATATTCAGGATATGAAGCCCTTAGAGAGATACGATTTGTTAATACTTTATTTCATTCTATGGGTTATCTTTTCATTTTCTTAATAGTGTCCTTGATGCTCAAAAGTTTTTTATTTTGACGAAACTCGTTTTATAGATATATTATTTTGGTGTTATATCTAAGAATGCACTGTTAAATCCAGATCATGAAGATTTACTGCTATGATTTTTTCTAAGTGTTTATTGTTTTAGCTCTTACATTTGGGTCATTGATTAATTTCGAGTTAATTTTTGTATTGATATATGTAGCCACATTGTTTTGCATGTGGCTATTTAATTGTTTTTTTTTTTTTTTTTTTTT